TTGCATTCAGTCTCTGGATCAGGAACATGCCAGAAACTGCATTTTTCGTTGTGCGGGTGAGGGTGTATTTGCCTCCATTTTTCTGGTTTATTCACCCCACTGGAGCGAGAGCCACACTCGTTGGGTACTCCAACTTTGCAAGGTGGCACACTCTGCAGGTGCAACGGTGCATTTTGACATTTCTGGTTGGAACCAATGCTGGTCCGATCAACTTTTCCTACACTGCATTTCCACCGGCCTTCAAAACATTGTGCAGGTACCGGCATGTGCTTACAAGGGGGTTGGTGGTAGCCCCTGGATCATGGTCTCTTCGTCGCCTTCTTTCTCTGCTTTGGGGCACCTATGCTGTTGTAGTAGATGCAGTGCGACCTCCACGATCTCTGATTATCCTCCTGCATTCGTGGATGCACTTTGCGACATACTTTTGATATCCAACCTGCGCAAATGCTCAGGTCAATGCGAGTTCTCCATCGATGAGGCCTGGTCCTGCATTCCGGTCAAACAGTGCGATGCTTCACCACATGCTTGGGTGGATGGTGGTGGCCTAAACAGCCGCCCGGACTGGAGTGGCCAGGACCGCTCCACTAAGGACATTTTCAAATCACTTCGTCATGCATTGATTACCTGGTGTGGCAAGGCATGCATTCCTTCCAGGCTGCGGCATAAGCTTTTGCATCCTTCTGAGGCTCATCTGTTCTCTGCCACTGAGCTTGGCGAAATTCGTGGGTTGTTTTGTACCTGGTTGGCGTCTCAGGGCTGTTCCGATGTCGACTGGTCCATTAAGGATGGGCAGCCATACTGCCTTAATGCTCTGTCTGCATTATCCTCGACACTTCAGGATGCAGATATGACTCTTTTCAATGCATTGCTCAGTGGGGTTCCCACTGGCTTCAAACACGACATCCCCCTTTCGGGGGTTTTCGCTCCCTCAGGTCGCACTGCTTCTGATGATGCATTGACAGTATGTGAAGAAAATTGGCAGGGAGCCGAGGACGACCCGGTCCTCCTCGAAGAACTTGTCCAAATCGAGGTGGACAAAGGCTGGCTGCGATGCATTGAGTCTTTGGAAGCTGCACGCCAGATCTGGCCCAATGTTGCAGTGGGCAAGCTTAATATCGTACATTCCGAAGGCCGTAAACCGCGACTCGTGGTGGATTCCTCCATTTGTGGTACAAATGCATCATGCCTTATTCCTGAGCGGTCTGCACTTCCTACTTTACAGACTATACAGACTTCATGGCCTTTGCGTGGGAAACATGAGCCACTCGCCGCTTGGTCTCTGGATGTACAAGCTGCACACAAGTCCATTATGGTTCGGGAGTCCGAGCAGGGCCTCCTCGGCATCCGGGTAGGCCCCAAGCTTTATTTCTATTCAGTGTGTCCATTCGGTGCTGCTTTTTCTGCTTTCTGGTTTGCTAGACTTGGTGCATTCTTTGTTCGGACACTGCATCGCTTGATTTTCATTGCTCATTTCCTCGCCATGTACGTGGACGATTTACTTGGCTTCCAATCTGCATCGGTGGCGGAGATGAGTTTTTGCATTACACTCTGTTTCTGTGGTGCCTTTTCCATTCCTTTGTCGTGGAAGAAATTGCAGTTCGGCTGCTCCATCCGCTGGATAGGGTGGGAGCTCGATTTTGGCATGGGGTGCGTTTGCATTCCGTCTGACAAGCTGGAGCGATTGCATTCAGTTATAGTCACTGCTCTCCGTGGTAAATACACGGATCGTGTTACATTGAGCAAGTTATGTGGCATGATGCAATGGCTTTTCAAGCTTTTTCCATTGGCCAGGCCCTGGCTCAGGTCACTTTACCAGGACCTCAACACTCCTCGTGCAACCAACTTCAGTGTTCGTCAAACTGACTGGCAATCCTTCATTTCATGTCTCAATGATACCTTGCATCTTGTGAGGTTACCCACTGGATCCGCCATTACAGTGGGCAGCAAGGTGCTTGCAGTGCGACATCGCAAAGTTAGCACCAAGCGCGAACTTTTGTCTTGCAACATTGGTGATAAGGATATCTGGCTTCGCATTGCTGACTCGGCCTCAAAACGCCGTGCATTGAGCCCAGCTTCTCGCAACTTGTTGTTTTTCTGGCTGCAGTGGTCTTCATTGCCCCCTATCTGGCGATCCCTTCGTCCAATTGACACTATAATGGTGGAGGCTGCCGCAGATGCTATGGGCAATGGCCGTACATTTGCTATTGGCGGCTACATTGCTTTACCGGCTGGGGAATTCTGGTTCTCTGAGAGATTTACTGTGGAGGACTTTGCATTTGCAGAGCTTCCTCTTAAGTCCGAGGCGCACAAGGACATTACTTGTTACGAATGCCTGGGTCAGATTGCATTAGTTTGGCTTTTGAGTGCAGTTCACCCAGGATGCAAGCTTTCTGTTCGCATGCATTCCTGGTGTGACAACAGTGGTGCCGAGGCCACAGCAAACAAACTGTTTACGACTTCATGGCCTCTTGCTGCATTTGTGCAGCGACTAGCCATTCTGAGTAGCTTTACTGGCGTGCATCTTGATGTGCATCACATTGCAGGTCCTAAGAATGTGGAAGCGGACTTTTTGAGCCGTTGGCTTCCTCCTGCTCCATTGCCGGATCGATGGAGCATGTCGCGTCGTCGACGTATTCCTTTAACCTCGTTATGGACGGCATCGCCTTCCATTTCACTTTCTCCGGAGGGCTGGAAGCCTCCTTTTCGAGTTCCGAGTGTTTCTCCATTGGGAGCAGCACTCTAATCACCTTGTCGCACGTTTTTCATTTGGTGGAATTGATGCGCGACTTCGGTTCTCTGGCAGTTTGCATTTGGGGGAAAACATGCAGATCAGTTTCACTGCAAGGTCCATTCCTTGCTCGGACAAAACGATCTGCATTCCCGCCAGAGAACAAAAGGAGCGAGTGTTGAGCGACTGCATCAATTCCATTTATATATTCCTTTTGAATATTTCCTTTCGCTTTATATGTATTTCCATTACATATAAAGCTGCAAATAGGAAGCAGCTGCGAATACATTAACCGAACGGTATGTGTGCTTGCTCACGAGTGTTTGGTAATGTTTTGCATGCTTGCTGCATTTCATGACATTCAATGTTCATTGCAGCAAGCAGGCTCGCAGCTGCCAGCTCGCCTGCATCGCAGGCAAAAATTTTTTCCCACCCACCTCTTCCCTTTTATTGGGGAGTACATTGCTGGCATCTGCATTCTGGTGGCGGTCTTTCTTGCTTGCATTTCTGTGGATGTCTGCATCAACATCAGGCGAAGCTTTCTTGGCCATCTTCTAAGAAGATTGACCATTCTGCATTCCTTCATCGGTGACAGGTCGGTGCCTTTTGATGCACCTCGATCTCACCGGATGGGGGAAAACATGCAGATCAGTTTCACTGCAAGGTCCATTCCTTGCTCGGACAAAACGATCTGCATTCCCGCCAGAGAACAAAAGGAGCGAGTGTTGAGCGACTGCATCAATTCCATTTATATATTCCTTTTGAATATTTCCTTTCGCTTTATATGTATTTCCATTACATATAAAGCTGCAAATAGGAAGCAGCTGCGAATACATTAACCGAACGGTGCTGCGCTCTTTGTAGCCTGGTTTGGCTCACACCCATCATCCGAGCGAAGGCTCGTCGGCAAACGCGGACACCTGGGAGATTGGAAGTGATATGAAGTTTTGGCACGCACTCCACCAAATGATTCGAAGCTTTATGCAATCGAGACGCCACAAATCGTCCACTGCTGCTTGTCCGCCCTAGGGCCAGGGCCTTGCTGCCAAGGACCCTCATCGTCGGACGGGTCCGAATCTTCATCTCCATAACAGGTATTTTGCGCTGACCAGAGCAAAAGGTCTTGACCAGCTTTGCTGAGTGTCCAAAACGCGGTGCACAATGCGAGGAGCTTGCGAAACGTTATGAGCTTCCAACACCTCAAGTTAGTTCCAAATCATAGCTTGCACCACGACTTGCTGGACATAAGCAGGCGTTAGCAATAATGAGCATGTACTAATTATATGCAAACACAACACATGGCTATAATGTTTGGTTGCCAATAGGCTTCCTTCTGCACCGGCATCCCGAGTTTGACTTCCCAGCAAGAACCTTCTTGATGCGCTTGCGACTCTTACCACGGGCGGCATACACGCTCTCGTCCTGTGCTCCATCCAGCGTCTGCATAGCGTGCATATAATTCAGGTTTAACTCTGCAACCTTAACGGAGCTGCTTGTCGAGCTGCTGCTGCAGCTGCCGCTGCTGGCAGCCTCACATGAGCACATGGTCTGGAAATATCAAACTGGCGTCCGCGCTAAATAATTAGTTTTATAACTTTCAAGAGCGTTGCGAGCCTCCTTCGAAGTCGTTTCGGATTCGGACTCGCCGGATTCGGATTCACACTGGCCAGACGATCGGGCATCTGCGTCGAACCTTCGCCACGCCAGTGGAGAACGGCTTCGAGGCTGCGAGTCGCTAGCGTCATCGCAACGCCACTTTCCCATGAATGCCCATGGGATCCCATGGGTTCAGGGGCAGCTGGGTTTTGTGAGGCTCGGGGTGTCAGCAGGTTACAGCCTTCGGCAAGAGTTGGTGTCGAGGTTTCTCCGGTCTCGTTGATATGCGAAGTATTTTGGTTTAGGTTCAAGACTAAGAATTTTATGTTCAGGGTCCAGGTTTTGGGTTCAAGGATATGTATGGCATGTGCCAAATAAATTCAAACCAATGATGATACAGGTCGGTGGTGGTGTCTTTATTACGGTTACATTTTCATCGGCCGTAAGGGATCGGGGCTGTATTGCGTCGTAAGGAGCACACACAGAGAGCACTGAAGCTGAAGATGGCCAGTAGCAACGAGACACGAAACAGGCGGCAGCAGCAGCAACATGGCTTGGGCCCTGTCCCTCGCTGTCTCTCCCTCTCTCTCGTTCTCTATCCGCCCACCCCCCAGTCCTGAGGAGGAGTGCGGGTAAAAGTCGTAGTGCCTGCTGAGGATCGCACGGAAGGAGGGGCCAACATCCATCAAATTGGAGATGAGCTTCCGCTTGCCGGAGTCGATTCTCCATTTTTTCACCGTGATCAACTTGTTGTAGTCCGCGATACATTTCGAGAGGAGTTCGCGGGTCGTGACTTTCCTGAGACAGTCACCGTTGGAATGTCAAAAAATAGCGAAAGGTGCGGCCAGGCCTGGTGGTCAGCGCCTTTTCGCACTTCATCGCCTGCTCAATTTCGGCCATGTACTGCAACGCCGAAGGAGCTTGCGTCTCCGCTGTCCGGGCGCCCAAGCCTGTCAGGTTAGCTGCCCCCTGGTTTGTGTCTTTTCCCTCTGCTGTCACCCTCTCGATCTTCTTCTGTCTTGAACTCTCGAAGTTCTGGGCGGAACGAGCCGCCAGCGGCGTGGGTTGCCGCTTGTTCACCTGAACTTTGCTTTTTGCTACATGAACCTCAACAAATCTCAACAAGGCCAACCCCTCAACACAGCGAAGAGACGGAGAGCATCGTAGTGGTAGGCTGCCAGGGATGCGTGCTTGGTGTGCGAGCAGAGAACCATAGCAAAGGACGGCAATGTCCTGAGCACGTCCTTCTCCAAGCCCAGCTTGTGCGCGATGCACACCGCCAGTTGCATGATCAGGACTTTGCACTGGCCGTCCACGAAGCGAACGTTAAAGCCATGGGGGTGGATCTGTCGATTCCCTCCGGTTTCCACTGCTTCGAACCTCACAGCCACGGGCTCCCTGCTGTCATTGCCCTGGCTGATGAAGGACAAGAAATGCGCACGGAGCTGGCTCTGGTGTGGGAAGTCTCAGCAAGCGCATCGCGATTCACACTAATTCTCCCACTAACGCAATCCTTGCTTCAGGGCACATCAACAATGAACACATGGCAAGAAGCGACCGTTCTTGCCTTCTGTGGAGTAGTCAAAGCAGCTCAGGGGCAGGTAGAAGGCTTCCATGTTCTCGCGGGGCACCAGCGACAAGGGCGAACGGGTATGCCCACGCCCCTCACTCATATAGTGATCTATGACCTGACAGATACAGAGCATGTCAACAACATTGCAAGCTACTGGTGTCTGCAGGTTTGCAAATCAGATTAAAACCAATCAAGATGCCCCCGCGAAGACCTCTTTGGAGGCCATTGTCCGGAACATCCACGTGCAAGGGTTCTCCTTCTCGCAGACCTTAAACCGAAATAACAAACAGCAGATGGCCGTCGACCTTCACTGCGATTCAAATTTGCAAGATTCTGCAAAGGTGCACTTTCGAAGAAAGTGTTTACAGCTTCCACAGCTGCAGCATGGCTTCTTTCAGCCTGAGCAAGCATGGGCAGCACCAAATGCACCCCGCACCGAACATACATCCGAACGAGTTGCATCGGGCTCCGGCTGGCTTGCCATCATGAATCAGAGGCAGGAGCCCTAGCGGCCCTAGCGCCCCAAAAAATGCACTGAGCCCATATGTGCAGTGGATTTCGCCGGGGGTGCTTTCAAGTGTCTCTAGCCCTGCGGCATCAACTGAGCATGATAACAGGTCTGAGAGAGTCCGTCGTTCATATTTTCGCGCCATGGCCAGGGTCCAGCTGCATCCCACAAGCCATGTCTCTTCACATCTTTCAGACCGACATCTTGCTTGTCCAAAGCACCAGCCGCTACTATTTGCTTAAGAACCCCCAAAAAATAAAAATATATTCCTTATAGGGATAATATAGGGATTAGTATTTTTTATTAATATATTCCTTATAGGGATAATATAGGGATTAGTATTTTTTATTAATATATTCCTTATAGGGAAAATATAAGGATTCGTATTTTTTTATTTTTTGGGGCTTCTTAAGCAACTAGTCGGCCGTCATGGATCCAGCACCTCAGCCAATAAGTCTTTCCTTCAAAGACCAAAGCTCAGAAACCAGGGCCCGGACTCGAAAAGAGCCGCATCTTTTTCAGCCCACCATCTTGTTTGTCATTTGCACGAAGCGGCTGACATCCAGCGCCTCAGCTAATATGCTTTTCCTTCAAACACCTAAGCTCAGAAACCAGGGCCCGGACTCGAAACGAGGCGCACAAGGCAACCCCGATGGCACGGAGATGCATGCTGTTGCCAGCAAGCTTCGCCAATGCCTGTGTTGAGGCATGATGCAACAACAATCTGTTAACAAGAGGCATCGTGCCTGGGAAGTGTTGGCTCCCAGATCGAGTCTGTGCAGCGGGAAGCCCTGCTGCAACATCAACTCTTCACCTGTAAGGGGAAGGCCAACACGAGAACCAAGCATGAATCCGCGATCTGAGGGGCTGTCTGGACATCATCCGCCCAGCTGCCAGGACGAAACTTCCGCCAGGCCTTGGAAATGTGCACTCACACGATACTTGACATGATGTTTTGCATGATGCTTCGGAAGATAAGGCTCTTGCGTGACACAGCAGAACGGCCTCGGGTTCCATTCCAACTCAGAATACACATAATAAACAACATGGATGCAGCACTTGTTGCAACCCAGTTGCTGGTTTGCTTTGATGGCGCGCATGCGTTCCACACCCTGCGACACGTCCAAGCAAACCCAATCCGGCTCCAAAGCGCAATGAGCGAGGAGCCCATGCATCTGGCGCGTCGAAAGAAGTAGGTCGCCGAGGCCCGGCACTTTCCTCCATCCCGCTTCGTAGGCATCTTTGGCAGACACCTGCCCGGTAGCATTCAAAAAACAAACGATGTATGTATGCATGCATAATCGAAAGACTGATTCTGCTGCAGATGGCCTTCTTCTCCTTCAAAAATTTCCAAAGCTTTTCCTTCCACTTCTCTCCTCCAGGAGCTGGCTTCCTTGGAACCACGAAGGGACGGCTTATTTATTTATTATTATTCAGAGTCACGACAGCATCCAAGATTGGCCCGCCTGGAGATCAGGGGTGGCACGTTTTCCTCGAAGCGTTTGCGCTTGTGACCCCTGACAGGCTCGGACTCGTCGTCGAGCAGAAGTGACATCCTGTAAACAAAAACGCATCATGCTGCAAACTGCACATGGTTCCAGGTTGCAAGCAAGATTCCAAGGTTCGGTGCTTTCACATCGGAGCTTCGTAAGGGTCTCGTCGATCTTTTTCTCAAACTTTTTCACTGCCACACTTTTGTGGATCATGATGATGTAGTAGCGATCGCGACTGCCGACCCCTCCATAGTCCAGCCTCAGACTCGACTCCAATTTACCGCCTCGCAGCCTTGACACCCCGACCTAGCCAATGCCGAGCAGCGGGTCGATCTCGCAGACCTTGATCCCATAGTCCCCGCACTTCTTTAAGTGCTTCAGCACCTTGGTTGCAACATATTGGAGCCTGACATGGCAGATGAGCATGATCGGAGGTCAGCACCTTGTCCATCACCCGGCCCAGGCCTTTCACATTCTCCAGGATACATACCTCAGCATGAAAGCAAATATCAGCAAATCGGAAGGTACTCATGGCCTTAAGTGTCAAGTGGCACCGCAGGCTGTATTCAATGCAGACAAAGAGCCAGTGGTGGAAGTTTTCGGATGTGGTCGCGGCAAGCGAAAAACTGTCGGGCTTCGGGGTCATCTAGCAGATCCGTCTGATGTCTCAGCAACGAGAAAGCTTTGCAG